TATCAGATCATTCTAATTTTTCATTAACTTTTAAAAAGATTATTCTTTTTCAGTCAAACATATTTAGACCTTCTGAAATGACATTAAACACTTCACAGTGATTTTAGCATTTGCAATAAAAAAACAACAACTACAAAACCTATATTTAAAATTTATTTTAAGTGTTTACAAAATTTACAAGTTCAAACTTTTCAGCACAGAGCCACTCCCTCCTCCTTTCCCACACTAAACAAGACAGACTCACCGAGTGCCTGAACTTTATAAAGTAATAGATATAACATCTATAAATGGTTATTTTAATTTTCTTATCTGTATAACGACTTAAAAGCAAGATAATATTGAACAGAGGTAAAACACATTAGTAATTTCAATTTAAATATAAATGGAATACTAAATTATATTGAAAAAGCTAGTACATTTACTAAAGTTCACATTTCAAGTCTGTGAAAGCCACCCAACAGGGTATATATGATCTTAATGTTAAACTTTAAGATGGTAATTAATACTCTGTCCTACAACAATTAAATGTACACCAAGATGTAAACATGGTAATGAGGTCTTCTAAACCCTCCCTTTCTGTGTACTTGTATTTATGACAAATGCTACGAAGGCTATTCAACCACACTCCTAATTTTGAACTACTGACCAGAGAGGAGGCGGACAGCAAGACTATATCACTCATCGTACATGTTACAATTATAAAAAAACAAAACACACCCACAGCTTAAAGTGTAAATATTATAATAGATTCAAACCTGGCTCTGAAGTTCTGAAATCCACAAATATACTAAAGGGCCAACCCTCCCACTTATTTTATTTAATCCTCAAATAAAACCATTATAATTGGTGTGCATACAAGTTTCCCGATTATCTTGTGTTCCCTTATTCTTAATGTTTCATATACAGACGCAATCAAGCATAGATAGGATTATACACATGAGAAAAGAACTCCAAATGAGAGAAAAATAAAAAAAGTATGAATATTACAATATGTGATAAAACTAGAAAAGTGCACAATATTTCTGAATTAGGTGAATCAGTTTTTGGTTTAAAAGCATTGTAATTAATTAAACCTGCTCTACGAACTACAAAACAGTTCTATGTTATTTAATAACTTATGTATATTTGTTCTTTTTTTTTTGTCTGCTAAGCCGCTGTGGTTTCGTAGTTTTTAAATTTTTCCTTTAATAATATCAACAGGAGACACTCTTACACTATTGGCGGCAAATCCAATCATACTTTTTTCAATAAGTTGAAACGTTGCTTAATCAACATAACATTCATCAATTAATACAACAAACCTAACTTAAAACAAGGGGAAAAAAAACAGTTTCAATCAAATAGTTACTAAGCAGTTTTTTCTCTAACTAAAAACTAATTACCAAATAGTTACAGCAGCCAGAAAAATAAGCGTTTTTATATGCATTCTTGCAATCTGTTTTTATTGATATCAATAGCTAGGAAATCCCAAGACTCCTGCAGCATTACTCACCATTATTAAATATGTTCTCCCGGTAGCCATTCAACGTGAACGGTATATAAGAATAAACTAACACACGCCTTTACTATAGGCTGCCAGGATGTACAGCCTTATGCTTGAGCTATGACGATCAATAAGTATTCCTTCAAAGCATAAGTTTTGTTCCTTAGCGTCCGCTATTGTAGCGTCTATCAATATTCAGTTATTTCATTTCCAGCTCAAGCAACAGTAACGGTTTGGCTTACTCAGTGCTAGCCTCATGCAGCACTGAACAAAGAACGTCAAGGCGACTACAGCATGGTGTGGCGGCAATGTCACGAACGGGGAGGGGTGGGGGATGAGGGAGAGAATCGCATGGACGTCGTTGCGTTGGTCCGACACTTGGCGCTTCTCTAAGTGTAAAGCCCACTCACTACTAAATGAAAAAAAAAAGGAACCTTCAGAGCATCAAAGCTACTCAACGAAAACGCCAACTCAGCGAGACTATCTCGATCCTACTTCGTAACTAAATAACAATATTTGTCGACTTCAAAAATAATGATGTTCTACGTAAAAATAAAACTTGAAACAAAACACACAGAAATAACAAATTCTACGCATTTATTTAAGAATTAATTTTAACGAGAAGTCCCTTTAAACTATAAAACAAACAAAAAAAACAGTTAAAACACTACTAATTTAAAATGTTAAGTAGTTCAGTTTTAAAAGTATATTTTGTTTAAGAAACAAGACGAGCTGGCAGACAACTTGCGTAGAAAGTGGATGGACGATGTTTCAGGTCACTTTAGAGCTTCATCATGACCCGAAACATCTTCCATCTTAAAAGTAATAAATAAATAAATAATCGATGATATAAGTAAAATAAATAATAATGTGTTATTAATCCTTACCCTAGAATTTAATTCGTATATAATTTAAATAAACTTGATAATAATTATAGTTCACTCAATCAAGCTTGTTCATACCATTACAGTCATTGTCCACGAAAGGTGATAAAGTAAATATCGCCTGCACTACTTACTACGTTTGTTGTACCTTAGCCAGCTTGCTATTGAACGAAAGGCCTCGTCGGCACTGGATATGACATATAGTGTGGTTGTATTATAATATATTCTTTACTTTCAAACGTAATTTCTTTCATAGTGTTAGAAAAACACATAGGTTCAAAAAGTCTTGATAGAAATGAATAAAAACCCTATAACCCGAGCGCTTTCGTAAGGTCCACACTGTACAAGCAACATGTTATGTGTTTATTTATATATATATATATATATATAAAGAATGAGTTGCTAGTGTGACAGTGCAGTTGCTCATACGGTTTTTATTCAAACGACCCCCCCCCTCCAAAAAAAAAAAACTATCTAAAGCTAAATCAGGAAGTCTACGTTATGAATTTTTTTTTTTTGTTCCTGGAATTGGCATCTTCAATTCATTTATGACAACCTCTAAATGCATGAGCTGTTATTTATAGAGCACACCTTACTGCATTTATGAAACAGGATCCTCATAATATCCTTCAGGTTTTTTATCAATTTCAGTGCCTTTGAAATGCCTACAACAAATCTGCATATTTATTTTTGAATATCAATTTCGTACAACTATACAGTTCCCTCAACACGCCCTCATACAGTTACACGTAGAAGCTACGCTGTGTCGTGTATAATTTTAATACATATGGCACAAATTCACAGTTATTGTTATTATTTAATTTTTGCTTAGGGCCACTTAATTATAATGAACAGAAAGTCTGGGGTTGGGGTGGCGCAAACCATAAGTCAGGGTTTCCAGGAGGGCCACCATATTGGGAAAAACGCAGATAAGTAATCAAATAACATACAAATCACTTATAACATATTAAAGAAAAAAATATCACCCACGATTTATTGTAATTTTACAACACTTTATTAATTACAGAAAAACCGAAGGGGATAAATACTGTAAGATTTAGTCAAAATATCTCGTAGAAGTCGTTATACACTGTACTTTGATGAGGGACTACGAATAACTTAAATTTATTTTAACAGAACCCCGTCAATAAAATAGCTACTTAATTCACTAGGAATAATATATCATTTATTACGTTACTTACGTTCTAAGAAAATAAGTACGTCAAATCAGGAATTATCTTAAGTACAAACCAGATAAAGCAACACAATATTAACTAATTCATTATAAATATTTACACTAATAAAATTGTTGTATTAAAAATATATTAAATTATTAAAATTTAAAAAAATCTACAAAGGAAACGAATATTTTAAATAACATTTCAAATATCGCGTGTTCAGTTTTTGAAGTTCTTGTTCAGTAGAGCTTCCAGAAATACGATAAAATATCGCTATCCATTATAAATAATTATGATGGTGTGTTTTTTTTTTTTTACATGTAACTCCAGTAAGCTTATGTGTAAGCCGACATATTTTCACGTATATCATACTTGTATACCACTCAGTTCTACTTTCTAGTTTTTCACGACTATCACATGACAGTTACTTTTGTAAGATGCAAATGTTATCAATACTCCTATTTTAAAAGCTGATATGCTCTCTGTAAAACAATTCAAGATAACAATGGTGAAATTATCAATTTTTGACATTCGTTAATCCATATGCAAAAACAACCTTGATCTCGAGCGTGCGTTAAAACTCAACCGGATCTGAACACGCCGAAACGTGCATACCGAAATGTATTTATTCTCAGACTGTCTGGTTAGCCAGCTTTACTTAGTTTAAATATGACGTCACAGCAGAGTTGATACACGTATAACCTATGGTGGCTACACTTGACACACTGGCTGAAACAAGCTTCACCCTTCCACGTACAAGAGCAGGTGAGACTGTCGACTGCTTTCTCTATTTTACGTATGACTGCAGCTTCGCCAAGTGATTTGCGCACCTTTTACTCCCTAGTGGTAGCCATGGCTGTACAAGGCTTGGAAGGTCAATGGACTATGGAACCGTCGATGGTCGTCATGCGATAAAAGTACACTGGCAAAGAAAACAAGCAACCTCCTATGACTGCATCTGATCACTGAACAGCGAGCACACACACACACAGTAACAACTGTATTTTAAAGGCCTATGAATCACAAACTTATCTACATATGGTCTTATATTCACATCTGTTTCACACAAATGAAACATTGAAGTTTATGCTGGTGTCTAAATTTTGCCTACTCATTTCAACACACTAAGTTGCAAAAACACACAACAAATATATATCTTTTCAACATCAAAATATTAAGAATTTTTCATTTTCTTTTGAGGGTTGAAAATACAAAACAAACGTAACAAACGGCTTACTTTTTGATTTACTGGAGCCATGGCGTTTATCCAACAAAGATGAATTTAAAATTTGGCCTGGAAGCGAACTAGGATTATAAATTTAAGGCTGTTTTTATTCTACGATATATCAAGACATAAGTTATTGTGTTCATGGGATAGCTTTTCTGAACATTCGCGCTGTTACTGGGAGCATTTCACAATGTAGAAACATTCTCTCTCTCTCTCTCTCCCCAATGTACTTTATAGAACCAATTAATTATCGACAACAGCGGGGTTATACACACTGATAACTCAATGCATTATAATCATGATTTCTTTGTGACATTGCATACCCCCTCGTTAAACCATTGCATTAAATTAGCTATATTAATTAGTATATTATTTTTTTAGTTCGATCTATGTAAGTAACTTGGTTTGATTAGTGATTCATAAAACGAAACCTTTGTCTTAAAATAATGTTACGAGTAGGCCTAACGCCAAACTCAAGGTCATCACATCAATAATTAAACATTACAATGCAAAGCGTCAATAAAAATATTTGGCTATTCTGGTATACAACGAAATTTATATACAATCTTCAACATTTATTTGTACAGGAGATCATTAGGCTTACTTAATACAAATAGTTTTAAAACTCCTTATTAATCTATCTATAATACTCAACCTTGATTTTTATTACTTTTACACTTCTTTTTACTATTAACAATGTCTCATTGTATTTCAAACATAAATTACTACATTTAATCAATACTTCAAATCTATATACTTTTTTATGTTGGTAAATATGTTTGTTCAAGAAACGTTAATCTTGCACTTAAACATTTGTTGCAACAGTTTCTGTTTAATTGTTTGGTAAAAATTACGTAAAAGTTCAGTCCACTTAATTTAAAAAAAGGGTTTAATTTCTTTAACTGAAAGTTGTAAACTTAAACGATTTCATGAACTAACGATAATCAAGCGATAGGCCTAACTCACAAACAAAATTTAATAGTCTCTTGTTAAATTTCTTCTATTTACAGCAGAAACTCAAAAATATACAGCACTCGCTAACTCGGTAATCGATCGATAACTGTAACAGACTCACTAACTAACTCAGTGTCTGATCAAAGAGTCAACAACTCTCTGGTCTTTTTATTATTATACAGTATACTCTCCTAAAAGAATCTTTAAAATCTCTAGACGTCACAGATCATTACACAACTATAAATTACAATATTAAAACATAGTTTTCAATAAATTTTAACCACTCTTTCCGTTTCTTGATATGTCTAAATCACGAGTCTAAGTAAATTACATTTATTTTTCTCAAATCCAACTACTTAAACTTTTGAAGATGTGTACATTTCAATAGTACATGTGTATTGTGGATTAAAACTGGTATTGCTTTCTTGATGTTACCCTGCTTCTTTGATCGGATCAGGTGTATTTGCCTTTTAAAAACATAGACGTCATAAAAGAAAAGAAGCGGAGATGCAAAATTGTAATTTGTTGTGCATAATTACAATATTATTCAAATTATTATTTGCAAAAATTCAAACCGTAACTATACATACAAACATTCACAAATTAAATCAGACCATTAGTGGCACACAAAACTCTCTTCTCAGCTGGAGGTATTAGGCCTTGTAATGTACAACTTATTATAATATTTTTGCCATTTTAATTGAAATACAGCAATCATAAACGTAAAACTTCGAACCAAATTCTGTTTTATTCTTAAGTACAATATTCCGAAAGTTCTTACCATACTGATAGAAGTTAGTACATTTAATTTTTTAAGATCTACGAAAAGAATACTCTACCCAGACATTTTCTTTAAATAAAAAATATCTTAAAGTACTATAAGCAAAGTCTGTTGACAACAAAATGACTAAAGGAAGCCTAACGTTCGAATCTAAAAATCACCTTATTTAACAATACTGTCAAAAAGTGACAAAATTATACCAGACCTACGGACGAGATGACTGGCCTTAGAGAAATCAGTCTTAAAGCCATCCCTACAGTGGATGAGATACACTTACAAAATGGAAGTTTGAAATCAGTACCGCACTGAAGCAGAACGAGTCTTTTTTAATTTTGATTTTTGATGGCAAGTATATGGAAAACGTTCTTTCTAACGATACGTTTATCC